GGGGGGGGGCCACCAGGCACAGAACGGGTGCCGCTTGTCATTAGGAGGCTCCTCTGAGGAGAGACCAGGGCCTGTCAGGAGCGAGATGGACAGAACTGGTGACCTTCTGCAGCTTTGGGACCAATAATAACGAAATTGTCCCAGCATCCTTCCTGCTCTGGGCGGCTGCCCTCCCCTGAGCACTGCTCACCGCCACCACCCTCCCCGCTGCGGGGGCCAGGGCCCCAGGGGCAAGCACTTCCCAGCCACGCAGGGGGTGACAGGTCGCCTCGGCAAGGTCCTAGGTGAGCCCCAACCTTGGGAGCGTTTTCAGCTGTGGAAACGGGTTACACACAGCAGACACCGACGAACACTTTCCTGCGGGAAAGCCTACATCAGGGGAACCGCTCGGGCGTGGGGCCCTCGCGAGGTTCCCAAAGAGCCCACGTCCCGTCAGCGCCCCTCTCACGGGCGCCCCGGAGCTGCTGGCGTCCAGAGACCGCGCCGCCCCCCACGCCTCTCCTCTACGTGAGAGCAGAGCAGCTGCGAGCGGAGACCGCCAGCGCCTCCCGGCAGGTCGGACCCGGCCGCTGAGGTTGGCCACTTGCTGTCACAGACCAGCCGCTGGAGGTGGCGCAGGTTTGCCAACATGGCCGTGAGTGGCAGCCTGACTACCCCCGTGCCGGAGAGAGAAGAATCGAGTCATTAACAGGACAGCCAGGTCTGAGAACGGCGGCTGCACGCGCAAGTGTCATCCTGGGGTTGGGTGCAAAGGGGCAGTGGGGCCCGGTCCCCTCCCGCACCTGCCCGGCTCCAGCCCCAGCAGATGCCACAAGACTCGAGAAAGTGACCTGCCGAACGGGAGAAAGATGCCAAAATATCGTTTGTGTCTTTAATGTTGTCGTGTGTGCGTGTGCTGTAAACTCGCTGTAATTTCCCCAGAGCTATTTCTCTATCTGGAAATCTACATGATTCACAGAGGCTAACTTATCTGAACATAAGGAAGCATATACCAGCTGTAACTCCAGCTTCTGAGGTTCCCAGGGCACCTGCGCTGTGGGGGTGTATTCATCCAATTGAGCCGCATTAAAGTGCCGCTTCCACACGCAATGGTCTCTATTTGGGGATGAGAGCGGTTTTCTTACCCATCCATCCGTTCCTGGCGTGGGCTCAGGCTGCAGAGACCACACGTGTCTAGCATGTGGGGCCCGGGCAGGTGCCCCCTCCCCGCCTCAGTCCTGGGCGAGGAGGTCCCACCAGAACCGCTGGCCCAGCGAGCCCAGGACGGGCCACAGCAATGCACCTCCAGCTCACAGGCCAACGTGCTGGGCCGTGTGCACCCCGACCAGGGCCTGCGGACTGGCTGCCAGTGAGAGGGGAGGCGGCAGAGCGGGCTGATCGGGATTTCAGTGATTCCTGAGCAGCGCCCATGGAGTTGAGGGCCTGGTGTCCATCCAGATGTGGGTGGTCACTCCTGAAGAATCTGCTCCCGACCTCAGTCACGCTCGCGGGCTCAGTCCTTCTGAGACCCTCCCGCCCCACGCAGCTTCCTGCCGAGCGGCCGCTGTGCTGGCCACTGCATCCCTGAGCACGCCACACGGGTATGTCTCCTCGTGGTAAATTCGCATCAGGCAGAGGCCCCTCCGGCCACGAATACGTGGGACGCTGGACCGAAGGTCCTTCAGAAACAGCCCCAGCAGCTCCGCAGGGAGCCGGGGTCGGTGGGCAGACACTCCCCGAGCCTGCACGGCCGGGTTCGAGCGGGAACACGTGCGGCCAGTGCACATGAAGCCCTCACCTGCAACGGCTCCTGGCTCCACGGCCGGGGCCACTGGGCCTGGAGACGACCCGGCGCTGTGGGACCCACTGGAGGCCCAGCACTCAGGCCAGGCACGTCCTCCAGGGGCACTGGGCCCAGAGCCTGAGGG